GGGGGGGGGGCTACACCCCCAAAATCAAAATTCAGCTCAAAATCATGGAATTTGAGTTGTAGGCATTTTTAGCTTCCTCAGCCTCTCCTACAACTATTTCATGGCATAAGAACCCTCAAAAATCGTATTTTTTCCCATACGGGCATGTTTGTAACCGCCGTTTCCTCATAAAGTCAGTATTTTATTTTTCTTTATCGGCCGTTTTCTCAAAATGTGACTTTTCTCTATACTTTTTTGAATAACTCCACCATTTTTCATCCAATCTTCATGAAATTTTCACAGAATGAAGAGAAGAGGTAATACTAAAATTTGTCTGTTGAATTTTTGATATATGGAATAGATTTTTGTTGGTGGTGTCTGGAGTGTGGATTTTCACGGATTTTTCGCAAACTTGAATGCTACCTCAGGAAAAAATTCATTAAAAATTTTCTAATTCGATTAGGAAAAAAACAACAGACAAATTTTTAGATCTAATGTTTGTAAACACGCATGCAAAAAATCTATCAATTTCCATGAGCGATAAGTGCGGTATTCATTACGTAAGGCATGTCAATAAAATCCAATATGGCGGCGTATCCATGGAGACGAAACTTTTTTCTCAAATTTGATTGTGGATTTTAGGACTCCTTACTATGCTTGTTATATGTGTGAAATTTGGTAAAAAGGGGGCCCAAAAAAAAGGGGAAACCCCCCCGGGGGGGCCCCCCCCCCCCCCCCCCCCCCCCCCTTAAAGACAACAACACAGAACAGGTGTTCTCTTACTTGAGAACTTCTTTTTACATAAATTTAATATGTAATATGATGCTGAATTTGTCCCTCACTCACACAAAAGACAGCCCAATCTTACGAACGGCTTTTCAACTGTGATTATGAGAGATCTGTGCTGACAATCGGCTAGGACAAGATTCAATGCTTCTTCTATGGAGGAGCTTCAGAACAACCAGATGTCACAAGGTTAATGAAACGGTAGACGTTGTAAAAACTTCTTGTATCTTGGGTCCATTACCAAAGAACAAGCCCAAGCAGTCATTTGATGGAGAAGCAAACGTTACAATCGGCAGTGCTTCCCTCAACATTAGCAAACCATCAACAAAATATGTGATTTCAAAGAAATCTCCGTATTTTCAAGACGAAGAGCATGTGTTCTGTGAGTGCTGCCTAGAGAGTGAGACCTGGACAGCGCGATGATCTATACATCAGAAAAGAACCCCCCCCCCCCTCCCCCAAACTCAACTTCTTTCTCACGAGATGGCTTAGAAAGGATCTGGTAATAACATGACTATACAAGAATAACTACGTAAATATACGGAAAAGATCTGTGTTTTCACTTCCCTTACATCGCAGACCCAAACACAGACGCTGGGGTTATTAGGACATCTTCGCCCCATGGAAGGTCAGAGAGTGCCAAAAAACAACAACCCCTTTTTCAAGAATTGAAGAATGGGAAGACGATAATCTTTGAGCTCTATCTAATAACAATGATTATGATAATAATTGCATTTTTATGGTGCACTCACGCTCTGCAGGGTGCTT